ATGGAGTTCGGGGCTAGATGATGAAAATTCAGCCCGTGGTAATACATGATCTCAAGCATGAAATGATGCAACGGAAACCCCAACCCTCGCATGAGGTGGGGGACAAAAACCACGCGCTCCCCGGCATTTGGAGCGGGCACCTGCTGGCCAGCGGCGGGAGTGCGGGCGGCGATGTCGACGGCCAGGTAACCCGCATTGCGCAGCTCCTGGATGGTCTCCTCGGTCACGATGGAGCCACCCCAGTGCCCTTGGAGGGTCTCAGCCATGGTTGGCGTAAGAGGATGGGCTCGTTAAAGAAAAGGATGTGGAATCGGATCTGGGCACTGGAGCTAGACGAAGCAGCAGATGGGGAGAATGGGAGCGTGCTCAGTTGCGTTGTCCTCCCTTTTGTTCTTATAGGCATGTGAAAGGCCAAGAGTCCCCCTCGCCGCGCTGATAAGCTCGCCACCCCCCATCAAAGATGTCGTTGGTCATACGGGGGGAAACAAAATCTTAATGATATCCCTGATAAACGGGTACGATCTCTGATTCCAAGGGACGTGCTAGCAAAAAGGTTTGCCTCGGGCCGTGATTCGGGGGAAGCAGTAACTGCTCGCCCCGGTGTGCGGTGAGGCGTTTCGATAAAGTTGTTAGACAAAGTGGGACTATTCACACCGAGGTGCTTAGCCTTCGAGACTAAGACACCCAATCTCTTTGGGCTAAGGGTACGGGTTCGGCCGAGTTCTGGCTGGCGTCGCCCCCTTGAAGGAGTGGTTTGAGAATTACAGGGAGAAACTCGTCTATAGAAACAAGGACTCCGGATCCGAGGTGGTTATCATCAGAAACGTCGTCCTCGGCACAGAAGACCAGTTCAGGGGTTACTGACGGTGTCCTGGATAAGGGGGTACTAACTTCATCGGCCCATTCTCCTCGGGTTGGGTCGACGAGCCCTCCTTCGTAGTCAAAATGGACTCCGGAGGCCGCGTACAGGAGGCATGATCAAGACTGCCTCTCCCCGAAGACTTGACGTATACTGCAAGATCTCTGCCACCGCCTAGCTCTCTTAGTTACCGACCTTGTAACCCTAGATATCCTCCTGGCGTGTATATGAGCCATAGGGTTTAGCCCGGAGAGGGGACATCGATACAAAATCATTTATCTAGCCCTAGAGTTAGACCACACATTACGATCTTGAGGTAGATCAACTCTGTATTCGATACCACTTCATCAATACAAACAAGAGCAAGACGTAGGGTTTTACCTCCATCAGGAGAGTCCAAACCTGAGTAAACATCGCCTCCTTTGTTCCTGTTACCCATGATCCGAGATCCACAGCTGGGGACCCCCTACCCCGAGGTATGCCGGTTTTGACACCGACGGTCGGGTTAGGAAACAAGAAATCAGAATTGGGAATGGACAAGGATTGAGGGAAGGAAAACAGGAATTGAGTGGGAGCAATTGATGGAAGGAGGCCGTAAACAGATCCAAAACGATTGAAAGAAGAGATAAAAAAAAGTCTAAATGAGGTTCGGTGGGAAAGAAATCGGTGGACAATGGATATCGTACGAGAAGGGAGCGACGAGAATCGATTGGGGGTATGAAGCAACGATACCACCTACCAACTCCCCAACTAGGAGTACAGACAGAATAGTTGTCGCGAACCAACTTGTGATTGGATAGTTAGAGGGACTGTGGTGTATATGAGCGCTTGCATCTGTACTGTGTTAAAAAAAATTAGTTGTCGTGACTAATTTTTTGATTAGCTTGGTGTGGAGTTTCAACTATACTTGTTGTTCTCAACAAGTTATAGTTTTTGGCATGGTTAACCCTCAAAAAAAGGCATCGTTAACAAGTTATAGTTTTTTATATATTTTTCTGCATTCTACTCCATAGAAAAGTATGGTATGGTATGTCTGGGCGGAAAAAAAATTGTATGCATTCGTGCTTGCAGAAATTTATGATTGATACGGCGTCTCACATGATAGTATCAGTACCCAGTTTTTTCTATATAAGTACCCAGTTTTTTTTAGGGAATTAGGGGAATATAAGTACCCAGTTAAAGCCGATCAATGAAGGAAAATAAGTTCTAATATAATCCTGGACGTGACAACTGACAACATGCACAATTAGGATTTTTTTTAGAATCACAATTAGCAAAGTTTGACAGAACAAATCATGCATTAGATGGACGTCAATACAAACTATGGCAAGTTTCGGATGTCTTGTCTCCAGACTTGTGAATGATGTTTTACCTCTTTAAATTGCAATAAAGCTAGCTATGATGACCCTCCCTCAAAAAATACAAACTATGGCAAGAGATTGGCGCTTGGCCGCCGGAGACGTGCATGACTCTGTCTCTGCCCGTACTACGTACGGTGCAAGACTACAATAAGTACCCCACCTTTGGTACAATCTATCAACGACCGATTCCTATGGCGTCGTGGGCGGACCTCCCACCGGATCTCCTAGACCTTGTCGTCGCCGGCCTCCCTAACCCCGCCGACTGTGCCCGTTGCCGCACCGTGTGCTGTTCATGGCACTCCGCCGTGCGACGCCATGGTCCCCAGGAAGCCCAGCTACCATGGATCGTCTTCTCCGACGGCGAAGTCATCACACCCACCGAAGGTCGCTCGGAATACCCCACCTTCATGCCGGATGATGATGATGATGATGATCGGAATGTCTCACATGTTGGGCTTATGAACGAAAAAGAATACACTCGCTGGCACCTAGTCCAGTCACACGGGAAGCTGCTCATGGTGAAGCCACACATCCATATCCTTCCAGACCATTCCTTGTCCATTCGCCAGGTTGATGTTTTCATGGCCGATGTTGACAAACGCAAATGGGTGCCCATGGCTAATGGGCTCGGTGGCGGCCGAGCACTATTCATCCACCACCACTTCTCCAAGTTTGTTTCTGCACCTTGTGGAGATATCAAGGAGGATGTGATCTATTTTGTCGAGTCGGGTGAGGTGTTCAATATGAAAACTCAGAATGCTAACCCGGCTAGGTTTTACGAGCCTGGCTACCTGGGATGGAATGTCATGTGGCTCTTCCCGCCGGAGTTGGTGCTTTAACAATATTTAGATAGTATTAATAGATTTGTTTTGTCTTCCTACATATTCATTCATATATGACAGTGGAATTTTTTATTCATACCCGATTTTACTTGCGTTGCTTTGGAAACTAGAGTTCAACTATTCCTCCACTGTCAATCTGCAGCTGCTTGTTGGGTCTACTTGTGTTTGGCTGCCTCTATCAGGGAACAAATCAATCACATTTATCTCTTTCTTAAAGCCAGTTTTTGCTTGAGATTATCACTCTTGTCACATGGCTATTTGGAGCACAAGGAGCGAATACATCTTCAAAGCCATCCAGGACCCAGCCTGATTTATTTATACACTAGTAGCGCAATGTTCGAAGAAGAAATCAAATGGCTTATTCAGGGAGCTATTTAAGGGGGAGTGGTATAATTCCTTTGAGGCTTGGGTTCTTTCTTTCCGATAGCCCCTGCGGCGTCTGTTGTTGTAATTTCTTTGTAACTGTACTGGTGGTGTAGCTTAGCTCTAGAGTTTCTTCTTTGTAGCTGTACAACTAGAAGCGAGCTTGCTCTCCAAAAGATCGAAACAAGAACGTCGACGCGTCCCAGAAGTGTTGCTGTTAACTGATGTTCTAGCTTAGCTTCTTCCTACAGCCATGACCTATCAAGTGTCCAGGGATAACTGAAGAGGATAACACCACTACCACTAAACTACAGTTAACTAATCTAGGGAAATTACTTAGTTGATGCTTTTCTTTCCCACCCTTTCATTGCGAACAGTACAGCTTATATATATATATAGACTATATAGTCAGTTGCATCACCAAGTTGTAAATACGTTATGAGAATAACCAAGTTGCATTGGCAAGATAATGACTAAATTTAGACTCCTCCCTTGGATAACTGAATGTGCGTCTCAGTGTTGCCTCTTCTTCCTGTCTTCAGCTCCCGGCCTAGCAAAAAGGGTAGATACCTACGTAAGAATCAGCAAGAAAATATCATCAGTGACAAACTATTAAGCCTCGCAGTGCAGTCAGTGAGAACACATAGAATCAATCATGAGACATTTATATGTAAATCTAGCGGCGAATCAATCAATTACCCGAGCAATATATACACCGCAAAAGGCCTCTTGGAACAAATGGCTTAAAAAGCACCAGCTGCAGGCCGAAGAAATGGAAAATGCCTTTTCCTTTATCGTTCTAATGGATGTACTAAAACAATTTAAAGCTATTGTACTTGAGTCTGTGTTTGCATCTTCTCATGTATTCTTTGTCCTCTATATTGCACTATTGCCCCTTTGGGGACTAACAGCAGCACCACGGGAACCATGAACGTGGTGAGCCAAGAATAAGTAGGCTAAGAATGGTAGTTCAAGTGTTTCAGATGCAAATAAATCGGCATCGTCTTCCAGAGGTATGACACCTAGGCAAATGGTGTCGACGGCGCTCCCTTCCTCTACTGTACCGCAAAATATGCGGTCTACAGGTGGGGGCAGGAGCATCATCATGGTGATGTCATTTAGTAGCGAAGTCACATAGAAGCTGTGTAGTCACTTGACTACACGGCTGCCGTTCAACCCGAGGCCGAGGTTTTCCAAACACAATCATAGTTTTAAATAGCCGGCTATAGCCCCGCTATAGCCATGCTATAGCCTTTTCAGCAGGGTGCCGCTAAATGGTTTCATGTATAAATAGTCCGCTATAGCCCGCTATAGCCCCGCTATAGCTGATTTTGAGGTCCGCCGCTATTTGGCATAGCCCGCTATTTAAAACATTGAACACAATTCAACGCTACCAACACTAAAGAATAAATATTCAATGGTAATAGCATTATTGTTTTCATTTTAGCATGCTCTCGAAGACTATGGCATTTCTTAAACAGAAAAGCTACATCATGACATAGTAAAACAGGACAAACTACATCAGAATCTACTCTGGTAAGAAATACCTTGGGTACTTTCTCAGAAGAATTCTAGCTAAAATGGCGTTGATGATGGCCCAGTGGCCATTTTGAAGTCATGGAGAGGGTTCCTACAATGGGAGAAAACATCAGGCTAACTTTAAGTTGCAACTCTGCATTCGGTTTGGGCAATTAGATATGTCAACATAATTACGAAAAAGAAGCATGGGTGCTGCCTTAGACTGGTTATTTCTTTACTAGTAACAAAGTTCAGAAATAATACCCGTAGCATATGCCCAGACCATGCACCATACCGCAACATCAAATTGCTAGCACTATCATAACATTAACATGATTTGCATCTTTTGTCAAAGTGGGATTAATTGTTTTACTTCAGATGCCCTTCGTTACTAAAGAAAAGATCCAGAACTGAAACATCACAGCTTCATGGTTTACGTACAGTATGAATTGCTGATAACAATTGTGACAGGGAAGGGAACAGAACTGAAACATACTACAACAGAACATGAAGAGTTCATCACAGGTGACACATAGCCTGTGACCAGCCAGGAGATTTAATTTATTCAGAGGACAAAACTTGGGTGGTCAGTTAACTGAATAATTGCACAGGAGTGCTTATGTAAAAACAACAGCCTTTCAGGTACCTTTCTGAACAAGATTATTGAGAGATGGATTCATGAATATATAATGTAGTTGTAGAAAATTGTACATTTGAAATACATGATTGAAATAACATGCATAGATACGTCCTGTGAATGAACATAGTTCCTGGGCGCACATACATTATTTAACTGTTTATCAGTTTCAGGCAATGAGATTGGGAGCTTTGAGCTCCTTCCGTCCAAAAAAAAACATACATTATTTTTTAACCCTAAAAGAAGAGTATGTGCCATTGTGATCATCTAGTATCGAAAACAATCTGCGAAAATAAGAACAGGAGCAAGCACAAATGACAAATAGAAAGATGATGTGCACTTGCTTGAGTGGACGCTACTAGTACCAAACAGAGAACTGTCAATCTACAGTAAGACGGTGTAAGCAGATCAATGGCACCAATCCTACCAACAAATCAGCACTCGCAGCCAAATTTACTATCTGAAATGCACAAGCCTCAATCAGAACAAGGAGGTGACCGATTACCTGCCGAAGGTAGGGATCTGGCTTGATCCAAGCGACGGTGAAAGCACGCATGGTACAAGCGAATGGTATCCGTCTTGAAGCGGAGAGCTCGCGATCACCTTGCCTTGGTAAATGTCCACGGCGACGATGTGCTTCTGCTCGCCGACGGTGATGTAGATGGTATCGGCGTTGAGCGGGTCGATGACGGCAATCTGCGGCGGCCTCTTCCCCTCTTCGCACGGGTGGCCTCCATCCTCCAAGACCTGCCTGAGCTCCACCTGGCGCTCCAGCGTCCAGCTCCTGCCCTCGTCGTCGAGCACAAACGAGCTGAGCAGGAACGGGTCGTGAAGAGAAGCCTCAATGTAGCGCAGCCTCCCCTCGCTGACGCCGATGCGCCGGTACTTGCCCATCTCCTTCATGAACGTCGCGGTGGGGGCTTCTTTGAACTGTGCGAGGAAGTCCGTGAGGCTGCTGCCCTCCGGCAGCTCGACGAAACGGAACTCCGGCCGGTAGCTGAAGGGGTCGACGGAGATGGCGCCGCGGGTGAGGTCGACCCACCAGAGCCTGTCGCCGAAGGCCACCGTCTCCTGGTTCATCTCCATCTCCCACTTGAGCGGCGGCTTGCACGGCAGGCCAAGCACCAACTCCCACCGGCCAATCTCCGGGAGGAACCGGTCGATGACGCGGTCACGCTGGTGCACGATTTCGGCGACGGCGAACCGGTGAGGCGCGTCCCCGCCGCCGCCGCCGCCTGCTTTGGTGAGGAGGCCCATGTGGTGGTACTCCAGCCTCTTCCTGGACCCGTCGGGGTACGGGAGGCGGAGCAGCTGGCCGGTGATGGGGTTGCAGATGCAGCGCTCGGCCTCCATGTCGGCGGTGAGGTTCCAGGACTCGCGGGGATCCTCGGGCCCGAGGATGTCGTAGTAGGTGAGGAGGAGGTGGCCGTCGGCGCTGGCGGCGTCGACGCTGCCGCCGAGGACTTGGACGACGTTGCTGTCGGCGGCGGGGCGTTCCCTGGCGTTGATGAGGTGCGCCGGGACGGAGATGCTGGAGACGCACGGAGGGTCGACGGGGCGGAGACGCGCGCTCGGCGCCGACGACGGTTCGTCGACGGGCGACGTGCTGTCGATGATGACCCATGGTGGGAGCGTGGAGGCGGCGGTGGAGATGGTGCGGCGCCGCGGCGGGTTCGAGGAGGCGGCGTCGGTGGAGAGGGCGGGGCACGGTGGGTCCGAGGAGGCGGCGGTGGAGAGGGTGTGGTGGCACGGTAGGTGCGAGGAGGAGACGGTGGAGAGGGAGCGGCGGAGGCGGCCGGAGAGGCCTAGGAGGCGCCGGAGGGGCATGGCGGCGGCGGCCTCGAGTTTGGTGCGGTCCGTTGGAGCGTAGCCTGTACACTGCAGTGTGCAGGGGTGTAGAGGTTGCGTGCTCATTGGCTCCTGGAGACTGTACACCTGTCTGCGACTTTGCGTGCCCGCTCATTGGTCTTTTCTCTCCTTTTTGACCAGGCTGTGTGTGTGTGTGTGACTTGTGTCAATTTGAAATTTGAATCCAAAACCGTACCCCATTTTCCAATTTAAAAACAAGTCGATGCAAGCCATGAATGAATTCTTGTGCCACTCCTCGTTGTTAGTGGACAGCTCGAGCTCGTCCAAATCCACGCCGTCAGGGGAAGGCGACGAGGCACGCGCTCAATCCGCCCCTAGGAGCTGGGCGAGAGTGTGTGGTGTTGTGGTTGAAAGCGCGCCGCGCCGGCTGGGGCAAAATTTCGTGTTTTGACCCTTTTAGCGGAGAAAATCGAGATCGGACCCTAGTTGTGAATTTTTTTGAGATCTGACCCCTTCTCTTACCGCCAGGGGCAACGGCGGTAACCCTGAACAGCAGCCCTCGACGGCCGCCGCCCCCTCCGTCCCCCTACCTCCACTATCCCTGGCGGTAGGCTGTATAACCTTACCGCCGGGGTCCCTGACGGTAGGGTGCGAGCAGTTATACGGGCCGACGCCCCCGCCCCCGCCCCATCTGCCCCATTCCCCTCTCCTCCCAGCCGCCAAGAACAGAGGGAGTTCCTCTCTCTCGCCCTCTCTACTCCTCCCCTTGGATCTTCACCGTTTCTACACCGTTTTTGCGGATCGAGATGGCTCCGAAGAAAGAAAAGTAAGCTCATCCGATCCCTCCAATTACTTTTAGTAAAATAGCTTCCGATTCGATGCATTTTTTGCTTCAAATCACCCCTATTTTTTACCTAAGATTGATTTTTTAACCTAGGATTGTTTTAGGTTGCTTTTAGATGTTCTCTAATCACTAGTGGTGTTGAATATGAACCCTACTCACTAGTTCGAATGATACTATGAAGATGAACCCTAGTTCATAATTTTTTTTGTTTAAAGAAATTATGATATGATATGATGCATGTTGGAGGAATTTGTTTTGATATATGATGCATGTGGATGTTATATGATGCAAGTAGTGGATGTTGTTGGAGAAAAATGGTGAACCCTCAAGATGAACCCTAGTTCATAATTTTTTTGTTAAACAAAATTATGATATGATGCATTGTTGAATGTTGTTGAATGAAAGACATTGGTTGAATATGATTCATTCGCATTGATGAATGTTGGTTGAATAAGTGATAACTGATGAAAATGGTATGATTCATGTCGGTTAATATGATTCATTTATACTTGGACTTGATATGTTTCATGTTTGTTCAAATTGATGAAAATGATATGATTCATGTCGGTTGAATATGATTCATTTATTTTTGGAGTTGATATGTTTCATGTTTGTTTAAAATTATACAAGTTGGTTGAAAATGACATCATTTCCAATTGTTATAGCCCCCCATTGCGCCAGAAATCGGCGCGAAGTACACCATGCTTGATCATGCTTTCAACAACGGTCACCGCGCCCGTTTTATGGAGAACGGAGTGGTAATGTCTAAGATCAATTTGTTGTATTGTTTGTTATGAAAGAATAAGTCACTAACAATTCCATTAACATTTCGAAAGATACTCCCCCCATTGCGAATGAGGGGCCACACGAAGGCCGTGGAGATGCAGTACGACGAGCGCTACACTCCGTACTTTAGGAGAGCACGGATGTTGGGTTTCGTTCTTCAGTTTAAAATACACCGTCGACGATCGTCCACTCGGCGCTCACGACATTGATCGACCAGTGGCGCCCCGAGACGCACAGTTTCCATCTTCCCTGTGGTGAGATGACAGTGAACCCTCAAGATGAACCCTAGTTCATATTTTTTTTGTTAAACAAAATTATGATATGATGCATTGTTGAATGTTGTTGAATGAAAGACGTTGGTTGAATATGATTCATTCGCATTGATGAATGTTGGTTGAATAAGTGATAACTGATGAAAATGATATGATTCATTTATACTTGGACTTGATATGTTTCATGTTTGTTCAAAATGATGAAAATGATATGATTCATGTCGGTTGAATATGATTCATTTATTTTTGGAGTTGATATGTTTCATGTTTGTTTAAAATGATACAAGGTAGTTGAAAATGACATCATTTCCAATTGTTATAGGCGCCCCCCTTGCGCCAGAAATTGGCGTGAAGTACACCATGCTTGAGCATGCTTTCGACAATGGTCACCGCGCCCGTTTTATGGAGAATGAAGTGGTAATGTCTAACATCAATTTGTTGTATTGTTTGTTATGAAAGAATAAGTCACTAACAATTCCGTTAACATTTGGAAAGATGCTGCCCCCATTGCGGATGAGGGCCACACGAAGGCCGTGGAGATGCAGTACGACGAGCACTACACTCCATACTTTAGGAGAGCATGGGTGTTGGGTTTCGTTCTTCAGTTTAAAAGACACCCGTCGACGCTCGTCCACTCGGTGCTCACGACATTGATCAACCGGTGGCGCCCCGAGACGCACAGTTTCCATCTTCCCCGTGGTGAGATGACAGTGACTCTCGAGGACTTCGGCATGATCATGGACCTACCAATCCAGGGCTGTGCTCTCACTAGGCGAGTGGAGAGGACCAATTGGTAGGAGAGGGTGATCACCCTCATCAGCGACTGCCCTCCCATGAAGGGGAACAGAACATCTGTTGTGCGACTCAAGTGGCTCCTCGAGAACCGTCCGTATGCCTGCAGGGTGTCGATGAGCAGACCGTGGAGCAGTACACGAGGGCCTATTTCTTGTACCTTCTGACGGAGGTTGTCTTTCCAGACTGCACGGGGGATAGCGCCCTATGGATGTATCTCGGCTTCCTGGATGACTGGGATGCGGAGTACAACTGGGGGTCCGCCGGCCTAGCTTACCTATACCGCTCGGTAAGATAATAATCTCAGTACTCATTTTTCGACCTATGTATGTTGTTTGAGATTGTGCTATCTGATCATCATCACTTCATGTTTGCAGCTGGGTGGCGCGACGCAGAGGACCGAAGAGACCTCTAGCGTGTGTGGATTTGTTTGGGCCCTTTCAATTTGGATGTGGGGGCGGTTGCCGGTTGGCCGTCCATAGAGAGTTCGCTCGCGTGCATGGATGGATTATGGCGAAGAAGGGAACAGTGCTCGGTACCCGGCGGTCGCGTACACCTAGGACAAGGTGAAGGTCTACACAGGCAAGGCCAGTACGCTGTACAAGATCTTCACCAATGAGTTGGACAACCTAACCGGAATTTCAGGTATACCAAGTAGCTTATCAATCATTTCGTAGCAGCTTTCATTGTTCTTAACAATCCTTCTGTAGGTTAACTGGAGGTCATACCACAACCGAGAATGGGGGTTCAAGCTCAACTCGATGTGCGAGGAGGATCGGCTTGCCTGGCGGTGCATTGTGCCCTTGATATGTGTCTATGCCGTCGAGTGGCACTTACTACAGCGTGTGGCCACATAGTTTGGGATCTTCCAGCATACCCCACTAGGTCAACCCACCAACACGGGCGGCTCCGGCCTTCACTGGGGAGGGCATTGTTCTCTACTTATTGTATTTTCGTTTATGTTTGACGTTGTCATGACGTCCGCTGCTTCCTATGCCTTGCACGAAGAGTAGAAAGAATTGTCAGTCCATCACAGACTGGAGGCACGAGCACAAGGACCACGTGCAAGCATGGGACAAGAGGAGGTATCGCAAAGACGGCGAGAGGAGAGTGTCTAAGATGACCTCCTATTGTGAAGACCACATGAAGTGGTATGACGAGGGTGTCAAGTATTGTACATGCATGAGGCCGTAGTGGACGAAAGACAATATCGCCGAATTGGAGGAGGATGACAGCGAGGACGAAGCATACCGTGGGCGGCTCAGAGATCTCGAAGGTGATTTGAGGGAGTATGCACCCCTGATGAATAGAGTGGTAAGTGGTGTTCTCATTTAATTTTAGCTATGAGCGGTTGAGTGAAAACTTGGCCGTTAACACAATGCTTACATGTGCAGGCTTCGGAGCTCAACAGAAGCATTATTGAAGGCTCGAACGCGCTTTCGTATGAAGCCGGAACCTTGGAATCCAACACCAAGATGAGGGATACGATGAAGGTAACATCGAGCTTCCTTAGCCATGTTATACCATTGCAAAAGCTTGACGTCGTGATGTTGGGGAACGCAGTAATTTCAAAAAAAAACTATGCACACGTAAGATCTATCATGGTGATGCATAGCAACGAGAGGGGAGAGTGTTGTCCACGTACCCTCGTAGACCGAAAGTGGAAGCATTATGACAACGCGGTTGATGTAGTCGTACGTCTTCACGATCCGACCGATCCTAGTACCCAAAGTACGACACCTCCGTGATCTACACACGTTCAGCTCGGTGACATCCCACGAACTCTTGATCCAGCTGAGTGTCGAGGGAGAGCTTCGTCAGCACGACAGCGTGATGACGGTGATGATGAAGCTACCGGCGCAGGGCTTCGCTTAAGCACTCCAATGATATGAGCGAGGTGGATTATGGTGGAGGGGGGCACCACACACGGCTAAGACAATGTCTGTTGTTGTGTCTATGGGGTGCCCCCTGCCCTCGTATATAAAGGAGCAAGGGGGGAGGCCGGCCGGCCCTAGGGTGCGCCAAGGAGGGGAAGAGACCTCCTTCTAGTAGGAGTAGGACTCCCCCTTTCCTAGTCCAACTAGGAGGGGAAAGGGGGAAGGAAGGAGAGGGGGAGGGAGAGGGAAAGAGGGGCCGTGCCCCCCTCCCCTAGTCCAATTCGGACTCCCTTGGGGGGGGGGGCGCCACCTCCTGGCTGCTGCCCTCTCTCTCCCCTAAAGCCCACTAAGGGCCCAATAACTTCCCGGGGGGGGGGGTCCGATAACCCTCCGGCACTCCGGTTTTATCCGAAACCTCCTAGAACACTTCCGGTGTCTGAATATAGC